GCAGTAGTAGTACTAGTAGTAGTAATAGTAGTAGTAGTAGTAGTAGTAGTAGTAGCAGTAGTAGTAGTAGTAGTAGTAGCAGTAGCAGCAGCAGCAGCAGCAGTAGTCGTCGTCGTCGTCGTACAAAGTAGCAAACGCAGTAGCAGAGCAGTAGCAGTAGGAGGAAGAGTAGGAGTAGGAGGCGTAGTAGCAGTAGTAGTAGTAGTCGTCGTCGTCGCGGTGATGGTGGTGGTATTGGTACTGCTACTGGTTTTCATGTTGGCTCGGGCTTGGTAGTGGTAGTACTGGTAGTGGTGGTGGTAGTAGTAGTAGTAGGAGTAGTGGAGGTGGTAGTGGTAGTGGTCGTGGTCGTGGTCGTGGTCGTCGTCGTGGTGGTGGTGGTGGTGGTGGTAGTAGTAGTCGTCGTAGTAGTTGTAGTAGTAGTACTACTACTAGTAGTAGTAGCAGTAGTAGTAGTAGTAGTAGTAGTACGACGTCGTAGTAGTAGTAGTAGTCGTCGTCGTCGTAGTAGTAGTAGTAGTAGTCGTCGTCGTCGTAGTAGTCGTGGTAGTAGTAGTAGTAGTAGTAGTAGCAGCACTAGTAGTAGCAGGAGTAGCTGTAGCTGTTTCAGTAGCAGTGGCAGCAGCAGTGTTGCGCACCACTCGTAGATTTGAAGTGGTCGTAGACGCGGACCAAGGACAGTACAACCCATGTGGCAACTTCGTAACTTCAAAGATTGAGGCCAGCACGACGTCCGCCGTGGCGATCTTCGCCCCAGGGACAGCGAGAGCCAGCCGCAACGAGGAATAGCCTAGGGCTAAGGGTTTGGGATAAACCTGTTTCGCAAAGCTTCCATGTGAGTCTACCCAATCTAAAGAAGATGGTAGCAAAGGCCATATGGGCAAGGGCTCGTCATTTTTTAATGCAATCATGTGATGGCTTTGGGGTCTGACTCTGGGTCAGCCTACACTGAGCCTACAGCGTTTCTTCTCAACCTACTGTCTCAGACTTTAGATTTTCCGCAATCTCAACACTGCCTCAGACCTCATGCATCCTGAGAACTCTCTCAGATCCCCGTCCCGCCATAGCATATTAATCCGAAGTCGCAGAGCCCTAAAGCAAACCTGAAACAAGATTCGGCATGACCCAGGCGCCCTGGCCGCAGTATGTGCCGACCTCCAGCACCTTGTCAGGTTGGGGAGTACAGATTGGGCTTGAGGGTTCCTGAGACTTTCTGCAGTTCGCCAAACACACGAACCCTACCGAGAAGGCAATGCCGATGATCATCATAACCACTTGCCAGCACCAGCAACCAACGGCAATGTCGCAAATCCCAATCCCTGACCCAGAACTCAAAGATTATCATATCCAGCCGCTATCAACTGAACTACGACTCACGGGAGCTTGTGAATTCGTTGGTCTACGCGAACATTCAACTGAGAAGAATCTCCATGCGCATAATTTTTTTGGTAAACCGCTTTGGGATGTTCCATTTTGGTGTTCGAGGTGTTCAGCCTTTGTTTCTTATTTGGGTTTCGGCTTTATGGTTCTGGGTTGAACATTTGTGGGCCTTCAGCTTCTTAAGGTTTCTGGCCGGGCATGCCGTTGGCATGACAATTACAAAACGATAGGTACTCAAACCATGCTTGCAGCATGTGACTCGAAGCCCTGAACGCTGAGGAAAGCTACGTCTCCGCATCCTGACCTCATCAATCCCTGAGGAGCTCCTTCGTGCTGAACCTGAAGAACCTAACGAGCAAACCATGCTCCAAGGGATAACTCCTACATCTCCTGAGTATCCGACAGAGGTCTGCGGTGGTGCGGCTTGTGATGCACAAGTCAAAATTGGAGCCTTGCCATCTGAGGAGGGGGCGAGATCAAAAGATTGAATCCTGAAGTTCAAGTGATAAAGGTCCTGCTTTGGTCATGCATATGGATAGTGCTCTACTGAAAGAGCAGCTACCCTATATAGCAGCATAGCTGGACTTTTAGGGTTTGGTAGTGAACCCGACACCTGAACCCTCCGGAAGTATTCCACAACTTCGATGCATCGTCTAGCCCAGCGCCACTTTACCGGTCAGGGTGGGGCCGAAGTGCTGAATCCTCCAATTCAAACACCGTAATGTCGTGCTCTAATCTTAGACTTTACTTTGATTAGTGGGTACAGTCAAGGTTTGCATGGGGTTTACTATTACGTTTGTTGAGATCCAAGAATCCAGAGCCAGCTGTTGCTCGAAGTTACTCAGTGAGTCCTATGAGTACGATGAACGTTTCGTTTCGTGACGAATTCCACCGGAGCTCCAAGACAAATCAGTTTAGCTGGTTCCTGCTTCATGTAAACTTAGGAACCGGGACCCGACACCGCAAATAGGCAAGGGCTCTGTCAGCCTTTTGGTAGCTTTGAGCTGTGGAAGACGTGAGTGCCGGGGCGGAAATCACAAAACTCCGGTGTGCTGCTAACCTGCCGTGATTCACAGCGGACGACTATGAAGGAAACGCTTCTGCGACTTGTGAACCTTACCCGACTGAGAAGGGGTTGGTACACCCGAAAACCCAAGGCCCTCATCTCAGACCTGACCCCAGGTGCGCGAGCCTTGTTGCCTCCGGCCAATTTCAGCCAGGATCGCGACTGGCCCAGCCTCAGAAGCAGGTTGGGTTGGGTCTTCAGTTTGGGGCTTCAGGTCTATGGTCTTTGTTTGAGAACTTCGGGCCCTGGGGTGTGGGATGCTCAGTCACGGTCTATTGTTGAAGCTGCTTGGCTTCAGGGTCTACTGTTGAAGTTTGCTGGAGGGTTTAGGGGGAGTTCGCGTTCGGTGGGCCGGGTAGTGCACATCATTCTAGCATCTCTAAAGCTCGACCAGTGTCTGCAGTAAACTTCGGGGTGCCTCTCGGAGCTCCTAACTCGAACAAACCAAACCGCCTGAGCTTAAACCCAAGCCTCTGTATAAGCATTTATAGCTTGAAAACTAGACTGATGCAAACCGTAAACCTTGAACGACTTAGACTAGAACCCACAAGACCCCCCAAATAAAGCCCTAAACACGAGTCTCGCATGAAAACTGAGCTCCCTGCAAATGGCTGCCGAAGCCCTCGATGTTTTCGCACACCGATGACGGGCTCCCAGCAGTTGCTGTATGCAAGACCTCGCTGAGCCTATGGGTGTAGTGCCTGAGAGATTAGGGGCGCTTGAAATTTACCTGGCCGGCTCCTGAAGAGCACCCAACAACTCAACCGTGAATTGTGGGACAGGTTTTGGGTGTGTGGTTTCGGAGACTATGGCTTAAGATTCAACTTCACCTGCGGTTTAGGATTCATGGTTTGGGGTGGATCGAGGTTGAGGTCGAGTGACGGCATGAAATGCTGCAACCCTACCCTCGCCCAACTCCTGTTCCACGGGGCCATCTGAACTGTGAAGCTCCAAGCCCCCACAACGAATACTCGCCTCAAGGGTGTCAGGTTTAGAGTGCTTTGACGTAAGCCTCCAGCGTGCAACAGCAAGCGCAGCTCTTTCGAGTACGGCGCAGTGGCAGATCCTACGCAGGCATGACAGATCTAGTAGCTGTGAGGTAAGAACATTCCACTCAAAATTATCAACGCTGAACCCTAAAATGCCATCATCTGTATCAGAACTAACAGCTCTGCTGCGCCGCTAAGCTCTGCACGCTGCTACTCTCATACAGTCTCTTCAAGTGACAGGCACCCTGCAGCCTGCACTGCCAGCTGCGCCCAGGCTGCGCACGGGCATCCTTTCTTCTTGTGACTGAGCTTTTGGGCTGCCGGGGCTGGGTTGGTGGTGTTGAGGTCAGTCTTGTTGAGCTCCTTGTTCCTCAGATTCCGTGTTTGTCTCCGAAAGATGGCCAAGGCAGTAGGGACCAAGATCGAGCCTAATTTGGAGTTCAGGCCTTGGGGTTCTGGGGGCCTTGCACGGAATGAAGGAGCGTGCTTCACGGGGTCTAGAAAGATCCAGAAAACTCTGTGCACGGATGCTTCGACAAGGATGGTATGCTTGTGCAGAAGCCGAAAATTAACAAGCGCAGTATAAGCACGGGTAAAGACTCTAGGGAAATTGGGAAGTCGATAACAGAATGCGAAGTGCATAAAGGTCAAGGCTGACCTTAAATTCATCCCCTTATCCCGGAAGGTCAAAATCCTTAACTCAAAACTGCACAATGTTCACGGCGCCGAAAGGCCGGAAGGCTGCAGGGGACAGTTGTGCATCAACATGTTTTCTCAAGCTCAGACTTAACGTTAATCCCTAAATCCCAGCGCCCCCGTGGCCATAATCCAACCTGCTTGTGCCGCCCACTCTCTTGCCCTATCATCCTAAAGCAAAAGTCAAAACTCCGCAAGCCCCGGAAAGCTGAGCGCTACAAGCTCTGAGAAATGCAGTGCATGCCGGAAATGGGAAATGCAACAAGCTGGCGGAGTCCTTCCGGCATAGGGTCTCGGCCTCGGAAGAAACTTGGTGCGTGCATCCCAGGGTTTAAATGTGGGCTTCCTCTCTCAGCTTGTCGTCTGGCTTGAGCTGGACAAAGTGGCTACGCCGAACTGTTGGAGGCATTTGCGCGCCTGTCAGGGACAGAATTGCTTCATTCTTGTAACTCCGGTTCAACTCGGGTTCAAGAGCACTTTCACTTGGACTTGTTCAGTTTTTGGGTCGAACTCCAGTTCTTTAGTTCTTGAATACCAAACCAAAGGCCCAACCTGCATAGGAAAAGTGGCAATTCATCGAACATGCTTGCACGAAAGTACGTAATGTCAGGCCAATGCAACCCAGGGGATTCAGGATTTACACAGGGCTTCGGGTTAACATCTTGCATGAGTGCTCCCAGCGACCTTTCTGGTTGCAAAAACTTGAACCTCAAAACCCAATCCCTCTGTTTTGGTGCTTCTACTTCTCATCCAGTTACATGGAACCGGAACAGGTGCCGTTACGGAGTACTTTTACGCGGGCCTGTGCAACAACTAAGAAGGTTTGCCTCGATATTGATTCCTGGCAAGGACTAATGTGAAACAGACCCAGCCTACTAACTAACATGCCCGTGCAAGCCCAACGCACGAAGGGCGAGAGCTTCTAGCTTTCGTTTTGTAAGTTGCTCGGGAAGGGCTCTGAATCTGAAACCGAATTTGCCTTGATCCTGAATCCTTACTCAGCCGGGGGTTGAAGGGCTGAGAGCCTTGACTCTACACCTCAAACACCAAAAATGAAAGTTGGGCCGCCAAGTCGCTGTGGTTGTAGCATCTGGCCTCGTGAAGGCCGCGGAACAGGCAGCAGCTCTGCCTCTCCACCAAACTGTTGGGGCCAGGGCTCCAGGCTCCTATCAAAGATATATATACGGGCAAACGCAATCTATTTTTTGTGGGGTCTTCACTGAACTCGTAAAATAAAACTTGTCCAGGCGCCAAGTAGAAATGTGGGCTGTGGTCGTTCCTCGTATAGGCTGAAGGTATCCAGGTCGCAATGCCTGAAAACTGCATCCACTGGCGAGGCCTTCAAGCAGTTTAGAGGTCTGCAAAATGTCAGATGGTTGGTCAGGTCTATGAAGTTAGCTTGCTATTGCTGGTACCAACAAGGCATGCAAACATGTAATCACCAATGTTCCAAAGAAGGTCTCGCGCTTTTACTCTCTGTCTCTCGCTAGATGTACCTCTATTTATATGTATATACGTATATATACACTTACAGTATAGACACACATATAGACACACGCACATGGAGTCCTCGAAGACGTAACAACAACCGTGCATTCATGACATCACCCAGCCAGCTTGCTTTATCGGGGTATGGCCTTTCAGAGGACACGAAAATACAAGACGTACGCATCGTTGTGCCTTTCCTCCAACTTGCCCTTCAACTTCTCAGCCAGACATCTTCAGTACTTTGGAACTTTGAGATACACCCTCGGGCCCTGAATTCCAAGCCCGAGGCCCAAAACCGATTATCCTAAGCCGGACCCCTGAAGCCCAAACCCCCAAACCATAAATCCATGGCCTTCCACTGTCCTGCATACCTAGGTCGCAGCGGCAAGGCTGCAACGATCTTGCCATGGGCCTTAGAGCCGTGGGGTCAGACCGCCTGTATGCAGGCAGCTTAGGACCGGTCCTAGGATCGGGTGAACTTTTCATGTTCGACTTCTCGGGAGATGGATTGCACGGAGCTTCGAAACGTTTTCCGATGCCCGGGAAAGCTTTTAGGGACCATTAACTTGGGGTCTTACAACCTGTTTGTGGTTTAGGGCCTTCGGGTGTTTAGGGTTGCAATTTAGGTATTATGGGTATCGGGCGTAGGGTTGGAGGGGTTTGGGGCATCGGATCTTGTCCGGGGTGGCTGGCATCTTCAACAAAATCGACTCGAACTTGGTGGCGAAGTAGCATGCTGCTAAACATAAAGGACCCACCCCAAACATACACGCCGGTTCAATTCAATCAATCTCTCACTCGTGTGTAACGCAAAACCTCGACGATGCTTTTGTGAAGACAGTAGTGTATGCATGCATCGAAACTGCGAGATGCCCTTGGGTAACATGTATGAAGGACGCAAGCAACGATGAGTCTGAAGTGCATGTACACACGGAGGTAAATGCATAAAATGTCCTAAGGTTACTTCACAACCTAATTAGAACAGCCAGCATGGACCATGTTTGATGGTGGTGCAAAGAACGACACGGTTCGAAACCCCAAGCCGCAAGTCCCGATTGCTAAGGTCAAAGGTTCAGTTCAGTTGTTACATGACCCGAGCCACACGACAACTTATCTGAGATCGAACTGCGAGGCAAGCCCTTCATCCCACAAACACATCCCTTCTAGACTTGGGAATCAGTCCTGTCCAGAATGCACTGTGAACAGGGTTTGGGAGCTGTTCTACACTGACTTGACAAACATTGGTTACGCTCGCTGTTAGTAGTAAGCCTTGCAGCTTCCAGACTGTGGTACGTGCAAGTTGTTGAACCACGCTTAATTCCGTGCACTGAAACAATCCACTGACAGCCACGTCGACTGCTACAGCATGTATGCTGGTTGATGGTGTCTAACTCTCCTTTCAAAAGACTTACCTACTCACCTATGTACTTTCTGGCATCGACATGCCTATTTACATTCTTTCTTTGCAGCATTGCGCACAAAGGCACCAACACCGACAACAGGACACTGCCGAAAACCCCATAGCACGACCTATGACATGAGAATGAGAGAGAGAGAGAGAGGGGGAGGGAGAGGGAGATAAAAACAAGAGATTGCAAACACACTCCCCTAAGCGTTAAACCCCACGCTGCACTAGTTTAATCCGCAAGAAACACACCCTCGGCATCCCTTAACAGAACTACAAACAGCTTCATTAGCCCCCGGACAAGAAGCCTCACACCTAAACCAAGCATCCCTGAAGTGCAAAACCTTGTCCTTAGACAGTTATCCAGCTATCACTAATTCAAAGACTCACAACTCGAATCCCCAACAAACCCCGGAGTACGAACCCCTAAAACCAACCCCTACAAACACTACCATGAAAGTACCGCACCTATAGACTTGCTCGAAGGGTCTTCACAAGCCCTGCCGAAGTTTCAGGGATCCGAACAGTCAAGAGTAGGTTACGATTCCCTAAAACCCTGCACCCGCGACATTTCAGGACATTGTTCTGCTCCTTGAGGGTGCAGCCCAGAGCCATTCGGAGCTCAGCGCTTCCTTTGCGAAAGATGAAGGCTATATAAGGAAAGCGGGTGGAGCGTCGTCAGAGATTCTTTCGTTGCAGTAGCTGTGCAACCAACAGGGCTGTCGGGTCTGTACTTCTCTTGAGCATACAGCAAAATCCGAAGCCGCAGGCCCCAGCCCAATGTCACAATACCCACCACGAATGCACTTATTCATGAACCATGACACGCAGCAAAGAGCCTGCTTAGTGGGGTAACCTGCCCGAAGACAGCTAGTTTATTAGCTCGAACCCAGACTTAACTCCAAGCCCCGGCGCACCGAACTCGGACGAGCATGTGGTCTGTTATGGCAGACTCAGAAAACAAGCGAAATGAAGGGCCCCAAATCAATCCCCAATAGATCGATTGTCGCACAGCCCCCTGGAGGTAACCCTTTGAAGTTTCAGATGTTCTGCAAACCGTGTAAACCCTTCTTGCTCAAAGCCTCAAAGGCATGGCAAGAGGATTGCCAGGTACTCAAACCCCAAACCCTAAAAATTCCTTAAGCCTCGGTTAGCATAAGCTTTGGAATGCAGTCCAAGCAGCCAGCAAACTCTGCTCTTGCCCTTCCAGGTTGCAGCTTGGGGTTTCGGGCTCAGGGTTTAGGATTTAAGCTTTAGGATTCAGGGTTCCGGGGTTGCGATTTAGGACTTGTGACTTTTGGCATTGGTTGTGTGTGCGAAGGTTTCATCAAGGATGTTGACGCTAAGACTTCATGACACCCAGCAGCGCACCCCAACCTTGTAGAACCAAATTACTTGCTCGTAGAGTCGTAGGGGATATTCACTCTGAGTGTACATGTCTTTTGCGGGCCCAATGGAGATTTGTGAATTTCGGGACTTGGGATGAATGATTTTTTCGACTTTGAACGGGATTATGGTCTGAAGTCTTCAAGCTTGTTTGTTCGTGGCTTTGAGCTGTAGGCAACGCTGGTCAGGGTCTGTTGGTTTTTAATTATCATTAGGTTAGGTACGCAAATCCTATCTCGAAATCGAAAACCCACTACTAAACTGACCCTGAACGGTGCCACACAACCTCCAACTTGAACGCTTCTATGCCTACCACCCTATGTAATTCCCTAATCCCTCAAACCTCACATCATCTAAATCTAAATCCCTGACTCTTCTAAGAAGCCTCGACCGAATCCCGCAAGCCTGCATGCCCAGCAGGGTACTTGTAGGTACTCGCAGTTGTGTCGTAAGATAAGAAACCCAAGTTCATTGCACATAGCAACCAGAAGCAAAACCAACGAAATGGCCCAGCTGCACCTTCCCATCCCTGCTGCTCACACTCGCTGAGGAACCTGGGAAAGGCTCGCATTGGATCACAAATGAGTGAGAGCCTTCGGCAATGCCAGCAGCCAATCTAACAAATTTCCCAACTATCGCCCATTCAGCAGACGAGCAATCGAAGAAGCCTGAATGGATTTCCGAACCCCCGAGACGAAGAGTTAGAGGTCCAACATCTGAAACGTAACCCAACCCACCCACCTAGCCTAAACTCTAAACTCAAATCCGAAGGCAGGTGGCACAGAGTAATTGTTGACGGCGAGAGGCCTCGGAGGCGAAAAGCAGTCGGAGTGGAGTCTTGCAGGTGTGGAAGGGAGGATTGCCGAAGCAGGCTTAGGCTTTCGGGATTGTCGTGCTTCGTTGATCTAAGGCCGAGGGGCTAGGATGTCCTAGGGGTAGGCTTCACTGTTCTTGTTTGACGAAGATTCAGGGTAAGGGAAAATGATGGTGTCGGGCTATAGGAATACGGGTTTAGGGCCTCATGACTTGCAGAAAAAGCTACCAATGAAGCCTTGAACTTCCACACCGTCCGGCACAAAAAGACAATGTCGACCACGTTGGAATGCAGAGCGAAGTCTTCAACCCTACCGGGCATCCGGGCCCCTCTGCGTACCGCGAATACTCGTCAATGAGACGAAGGGCTTGTTGCCTTGAGGATGTTGGGCGTAAGCTTTGGGTCACCGGAACAGGGTTCACCGGTTCAGGGTTTCCCGAAACCCCATCTAGATTCCCTTTAGGGTCTGCTTGTTCGCGAGAAAGCTGCTTCTCCTTAGCTTAGTCACGTCTTCCCCGCTGACCAGGGAACGGCCAACTGATTTCGTCGCGTTTGGAACAGCGCAGCGTTGTAGAGTCCGGATGACTGATGCCGGGACGGTGCTGAAACGTCTTGGTGTTGAGAATACTTGGCCTAAGGAGGGCTCATGGGGTTTGGGAGTGTTACAGGCCTCAGGTCTGTCTGCACAGCTTCATTCGCCTCCGGGGGCGAGGCTTCAAGGATATCTCTACGTCTATGTCCAAACAGAGGCACATATGCAGAATAGACAGAAAATAGGAAGACAGGTAAACGTCCTGTGTCGATGCAACAACGCGGTAAAATCTGGGCATCATTGGCCTTGCCAAGCCTGCAAGCACCACAAATTTCGCCATGCTGGCATAATTTGGTCAGTACGAAAGTTACGAAAGTTACGTGAAGGCTTTGTATCCCCAGTATGTACCAGCACTTTTGCTCTAAATCACCAAGGGTTGACGTTCGCATGCAAAGGCGCTTGTGT